CATGAAGGCACTAATGTGGGTGTTTTGCAAAAAATCCATAGAGAAGTAAAACATCAGGTAGAGAAGGAATGATAACGGATTCGCAAACTCAAAATCACATTCCCTACAAAACTGAGTTATCCTTCACGCATCACAACAAAAGGTCGTTTTTGTGCAAAGGTAAAAGAGGGACAGACCCTACAATACTACAGGACCAACAGGCAGCTATCACCTGCGCTGTGTCTAGCGCAGCGCGATTTATGTATTAATAAATGGCCTATGCACCAACTGCCGATATGAAGATGCATTTTTTATATAGTTCCCTGCAAATTTTTTGTCACTAACGGCACTGGTTTTTCCAGAAGATGCTTTTAGCTAAAAGAATTCAGATTTGCCGCCAGGACTGTCAGGAAATATTACTTTAAAATTTCAGCTTTCTAGCCTTCCTGGTTCCTGAGTTATCAACTTACCCATAACAAAATTCACGAGCCCATGCATAGGAATCACTCATACCCGGGGACTGGGTTTGAACTCATTAATACCTAGACGGTAAACATCCCCTTAAAATTCCAGTCTTCTAGCTTCTCAGGTTCCCGTGTTAGCAACTTACTCAAAAACTTTCACAAATCTGTATGTGGGAACCACGCATACCCGAAGGCTGGGTTTGAGCTCATTGAGACCTACGTAGACGGGCGGGGAACGCCCATTTAAAACTTCAGCTCTCCAGTTTCTCTAGTTCCCGAGTTAGCAGTTTACCCGCAAAAAACGTTGGCGGACCCGTATGTGAGTACCACGCGGGCAAGGACGCCTATTTTGGGGATGGAGGCCCGTACATTCATGCAGATTAAGTCCCCGAATTTCCAGCCCTGTAGGTTTTGTAGGTCTCGAGATGAAAAATCGGTACAGACGAACACACAGATATATATATATACACACGCACACACACACACAAAACAAACAGCCTCCCGTCAATATGCGTTTTCTGCACTGCACAGATTTAAAAAATGCATAACAAAATCGAGAAACAGCACTGCGTCCATTTCAAATATGCCTGAGCGGACTGGTTGTCAGATGAGAAGCGAGATGCGAAAATTTCGCAACTACAGCAGGATGACGAGCCCTCGAAACGAGGCAATCCCGGCAACAGCAAATTTTCACAAGCAAATGGTAATTTAATGAAAATGCATACCGATGCAAAGAGAAGGCGGAAGACCAACATATAGTGCATACTGCAGGGGGAACAGAACGGCAAGATACAAAAGGAACAGAGGCCAAAGTCGTCGACACGCCACACGTGAGGAGAGAGAAAACAGCAGCAGCCAAATGAGGAGAAGTGTACCAAGCAGATCCATACGCACCCATGCCACCACCACCATCATCGTCATCGACAACTTAATTCAGTTCTTTCCTTGCGTAGTGAATTTTTGACCGCACAATTTTTCAGGCAAACAAAAAATCACTATTTGCAATGCAGCAAATCAATGTAGTTACCTCTAAACCGAACTTGTAGAATCCATAATTGAAGAAGAACTTGATCATATCAAGCAAACTGGCGTCCCAATGTTTTGGGTCCGCTTCCGGGAATATAATCCCTCGAGGTGGTGTCGATATTCCCAGCAGCATGCGCTTATTTCGTTGTCGATAGATTACAATTGCTTGCAGTGCTAGTGCCACTAACATGGCAATCAATCCCTACAAAACAGTCCCGCGCATAAACCACACTCAGTCGCAAATTTTGTACGAGGAACGAACTGAAATGATCCAACGCGCTGGTAAAATTCGACATCTCAGTTACTCGTGTTTCCTGAACTGACCCGATCCCGCAGTGGAAACACTTACTTGCAAATAATCCCCAATCACAGAAACTTTTCGGAAGCCAAACCAGTGCACTATGGCGTCAAAATTGAATTCGGATGAATTGCATATTAGGTGTTCGGGATCGACAACCAGCTCACGCTCCACCACAAAGTGCATCTGAAAAGACGACACACTGCAAATGCCTGGGAAAACGTATCTCTTATACGAATTTCGCACTTTTCCAAGAATCAATATGGCATTAAGAAGGCAAAACAAACCTGATAAAGCATTCGAAGTATCACAAAAACCGATACGAAAAAGCACAAAAGCAATGCAAGAAGGGAGGAGATCGCCGGTAAACAGAGAGCCAGAGAAATAAGTATCATAACTGCCAAATTCAGTGCACATATCTGAAAACGCTCAGAAGATGAAATTACGCTTCTTTTCCGCGGATGGACTACATCCGCCTTTTCAGCTTAATATGGCCAAATTTCAAGCTTACGTCACTGATAGCGATTGAGACGACCACAAGCATGACAAGCTTGGCCATGTGCACCTCAGCAATTCGCCACAGTAC